TGGTTGGACCTTAGTTTGGATTTCAAACGATATGATCTCTCAAAGAGATCGATTAAAAGTCCTTAAATCAATGTTGATTAAACAAAAAAAAAACGCCGGAAGAAATAATTGGACTATAAAGTTCATTAATAGTAATCCTCAACCGATTCGATAAACTGATCATACGCCCTGAATGTTCAGAAAATAAAACTATAAATACGGAAGAAATAACTAATATTATAAATAAACATTTTATCGGCTACTATCAAAATGTAAAAGTGGTTTGTATTAAAACTAATTTATTAAGCTATATTATTGCTTGTTTATTACAATAATTATTTTATTTTAATAGAAACTTGGCTAAATAATAATATTAATAAATGCGATTTAAAGTTTGATAATTATACTATTTTTCGTTTCGATCGATGTTCTAGCTCTAATAGTTATATAGTAGAGGAAGTGGTGTTCTTATATGTGTCAAAAAAAAAATTTGCTCTGTAGCGATTAACATATCATTTAATACAGTCAAACAGCTATTTGCTAAGGAAAAATTAAAATATAAGTTATCATCAAACATTAATATTGGAACATGTTATATGACAACAAATAGAAACGTTTAATTTCATCAAGCTCATGTTGATATTAAAATGTGGGTTTTATCTAATAATGATTGGTATATTGGTAACCTCTTGGCCGTTAGTGATTATAATTTACCGAGTTCACATTTCTTTAACATTAGTACCGGATTAGCAGTTGAATACGTTCATCACAGATTAATATAATATTTAACTTTTTTCGGTAAATAATTTTTCATTTTTATAATATAAACAATAGAAAAAAAATACTATTTTAGATTTAATTATTTTTGATAATCCACATATAAATGTTCAAGAAACTACCAATACTCTATTGCCTATTGATTCGTAATATCCAACTTTACAATTATCATGAAATTACGACTCCTAAACAAATGTACGTGATTATCCCCAACTTTGTTTAAGATTTTAATCCTTTAAATTATAATGCATTTTATTATTGTACTCGATTAAGTTCACTGGGAAGATACATTAAGTGAATTAACACAGCGATTTCTAAATTTTATTATATTGACTACAGCCTTTTTGATATTTATTCCTAAAATTAATTTAAATAGCCACTAATTTCCAAATTGTTATAGCACTGAATTACGTAAACAAACTTTAAAAAAGAAAAAATTACAAAAGAATTTTAAAATCTCAGGTTGTACAGATACTTGCGTAAAAAATTAAAAATATTATCTAAGCAATGTTATGACAATTATTTGGTTAAAACACAAACTGCTTTGACAACTAAACTTAAACATTTTTGGAATTATATAAAATTAAGGAAAAATTACGATAGCCTACCATAAGGTATAGTTTATAATGATATTTTTTCTGATACCGATCAGTCCACTTCTAATTTATTTGATCAACTATTTTCTTCTGTGTTTTTAATTGAGTTGAATGAAACAGTAGATTTTACACGTAATTACAATTTACAAAAAAATTACACTTATTGTTAAAGTTATCTTAACTAACAGATGTCTATTTTGATAATTGGAAATCTTCTTTTATTACTTTGATTTTAAAATGGAAGAAATGTTCATTAGTTATAAATTATAAACCAATTACTAAACTTATTTTCGAGTTTCGAATTTATTAATTAAATTAATGACTTCTAAATTAAACCACGGGTTTAATTATTTGATGATGCTTTCGAGCTTTACTTACCTATGTATTCAAAATCGCATTCTAAATTATTACAAAAAAATCTGAATAGATTTTTAAATTGATGATCCTTAAATTATCTCCTGCTTAATGTTTCGAAATGCTCTGTTTTACTTTTAATTAGGAGTCGTTCAATACCTTAACATCCCTATATTATTAATGAATTATTGTTTTAAATCGTAAACACTTCATTAAAGATTTAATTGTTATTTATCAACTAATCTTTTATTTAAAAATCATATAATATCAATAAAGAATAAAGCTATGCGCATTGTATAATTTTTTAAGAGACACTGCTGGGATTGTAATCATTTAAACTGTTTAAAAACTTTATAGTATGTTTTAATTCGTATGATATTAAAATATGGTAATGTTTTATGGAATACAATTCAAATGAGACTAATAGCCATAATTAAAAATGTACAAAATAAATGTATAAGATGACTAGTTTATAATGTTTACTGTTCCAAATTAGAGTGAAAAGTTATGCTTTCTTATTTTCTTCTACAAACCTTAGTTGATAGATGAAAATACATAGACTTAATATTTATTTTTGAAAATATTGAGTTCTTATATTCATTAGGCAAAATAAAACTAAATGTACTATGTATTAATTTAAGGAATCATGCCTTACCTTATTAACAAACAAAATTGTTTCGATTGAACCACATTTATTCATGGCTCTTTTTTTAATATACTACTTAACTTTTCCCTAATTTTTTAAATAGGATGATCGAAACCCACTGAATAACTTACAAAATAAAAGTAAGTATTTCGAAAACATTTTTTTTTTTTGGCTTTTTTAGATACATAAATTTTTTAATTTATCAATAATTAACTACTTTTTTGGTTAGTCCTTTATACCTTAAAAATTCTCAACTTTAATATTTAAATGGCAACACACATATTTAACTAGCTCATAACATTGAATATAATCTAATTAATATAATGAGTGGTCGATAACAACTTTTGGACGAGTACTTTGTTTTGGATTTCTTCTCCCCCCGCCTAAGTATAAAAGTATGAATAACTGTCGGCCAGTAATTTTCTTAATTAGATCAATTGCTATTTTATAATCTAGTTAAATATCTATGTGAACATAAAAGAAATACTATAAAGGAGGCTCTTACAAGTCATATGAAATGAACTGAAAAAGTAATTAATAATTAATTAACTAAGAAATACATGTAGCTAAGAAAAGCCCAAAACATTTTCCCGAAATTATTTATATTTTGTAACTTTTGAGTGAGCTACAATAAACGGATCACCTTTATATCTGGGCCCCTTGTATAGTAGATTTAAAAAATATTTTTTCAGTTTTGGAACGTCAGGTGTGTCTGCAGCATTTGAAAGGCGTAGAACTGTTGTTCACAAACATAACAACACCGTTTTTTTCAAACCATACATTAAATTTACATCATGATTTATACATTTATTTTATTGATGTAAATATTCAGGTATACAAAATATAAATAAAAGCATACATAATATATTTAAAAAACTCGTTCCTTAACCTTGAATTAACTTTTGAATTAAAAATTTGACATTTAAAAAATTACAAATAAATTGTACACATTAAAGTAATTGGGTGTATTAAGTTATAACTTATATTGTGGCATAGAAATTAATTTAATATTTATTAAATTTGATTTCGATGTCAGCCTAAGCTTTTAAGACGATTCCGAGTTGTTATCGTTACTCTAGTCACAGCGTCTTAATTAATGATTAATAACAAGTTTTGTGTTATGCGCACCATCAGGAACATATATACAGTAAATTGTGTTTATCCAACATAAACCATGAATGCTGTTAGCCAATTAAAATTATTCACATGAATAAAATTGCATAAATTAAGACCAGAAAAAAATCATTATCAGTAGAATAGACGATTTTTCTAATATAATAAATAACGTTTTCGACCATTAACTTATAGATAAGACTTTGTTTCTTTTTCAACGCCCGAAATTTTTTGTAGATAAATAAAGGCTAAGCTCCTCCCTGTCCTATTATCGTCTATGTTTAGTGCAAAAATTTAACAAAAGTGTGAAGATTTTAATATTTTGAGCCGCATTCTAAAAATTGGTGTAACCAAGGGGGGCTAATGGGACTGTACCCCCCATTTGTCTATTATTACTATTAACAGTATATGCATTTAGCGCTATTGAGAATATGTGATACGTACAGGTCCTTAGCCTCGCCCAGTCAAAATGTCTGGCTATTCTACTGATCTGAGATAATCAGAACTATGACGCACCTCATACATTGATTAAAAACACAAGGCTGCATAATCTATACTAAAAAAACAAGATTTACAAATAATATAACGTAAAAGACAATATTTTTCAAACGGTAATATTGTTGCACCGGTATGAATGAAATCTAATGAAAACGAGTTATAACTGTGACATTATCTTGTTCTATTATTATATTGCTACTAATTATAATCAGTAGCAATAATTAAAAAGCAAGGTTTTTTTCCTATGATATCATTATTCAAATTGAACTATTTCGAATGAATTAAAAGTGTGGATAATTTCAAGTTTTTTGTGTTTTTGCGTTATAACTTAGCAATATTAAATCACCGTAAACTTAAACACGAAACTTCATTATAGTTTTATTTTGCTGTATCGCCTTCGGAGTCTTAAGTTTTAAAGATTTTTTCGGATAAATGTAGAAAAAACACGAAACTAATCAACTATTCTGTAGGTACTTTGGTTCAACTCGCTGCCACTGACGTTTATTCAATACACTTGGAACTTAAGGCGGTTAGCTCGCAGTATAACAACATAACGATAGTTATTTTCGCAAAATGTATGCAAATAAACGCGACACATGAACTTCCTCGTTTCGTTTAAACACGAGCAACATTATATTGCATATACATTGCGCCGTCAACGCTGCTCTCGGCGTGTCGACTATAGACTAAAATCGGCAAAAGTAAATGTTCGCGGGATTACTTACATGGCTATACAATAATAAAGTACCTCCCCTATTTACACGCTTAGTATTTGCCCGTTGCATCGTTGGGCGTTAATCCTTCGTAAGCGCTACTATTGAACATAAAGCTCTTTATTAATTATATATAATTTCGCTGAAACCGCTTGCTCTGTGTATTTAAAACTTTAATACTTAAAGCTTTTGAATCGACTGGAACACTTCCAGCCGGTCGGTCTAGTACAGTCGATTCAAAAAACGGACAGTCTAATTGAACCTATAAACGAGCACCTAAATGGCGTTAACATTGTACTAATGGGAAAATTGTACGATTTTCAGGTACCGTACGAGGAAACTTCGTGTCTGGTGGAAGTCGACTGGGAAAACGGATTTGTCGAAACGTCTGCCAAAGACAACATAAACGTCGGCGAGGTGTTCAGGGAGCTTTTGAACCAAGCAAAGTCCAAGTACGACTTGGGGCCTTCGCTGAGAAGGAACTCTGCTCGTCGACAGTCACTTCCGTCTGGTGGGGGTCAGGGTTCCATGGTTCCCACGCCGACTCAGCTGGCACATCTGCAGAAGAAGGCGAGTGGAGGAGACGGCAGTCGGTCCAAACGCAACTCGTGCTCGATTTCGTAATGACATTAAAAATGCGACCACCTTATTAAATGCCCAAGAGGCGTCAAAGACCCATGAGCAAATACATGTTACCTTCTACTATAATTTTTATTTTATTATACTATACAGGTATATGGTAATATCAATAATTACTTTATACTTTCGCTGTTTTCCTATGTACCGTTAAGTGTAAAATTTTTCGAAGCTGTTCGCAAACAGCTTTAGAATAAAAACGAATACGCGTGTCAAGGGCTCCATACAGATCAGAGATCAAATATTCGGTTCACGCGCTGGTGTTTTAGCAGAAACTTTTTATTTGACAGCAGTGCTGTGAGCTTTAACTATTAACAACTCTCTAAACACAATACGTCATTTATTATACTTAAGTATACCGTTAAAAAGATGTTCTATCAAAATCGACGTGGCCGCGTTGTTCCACAATGTTTCCTTTGTATAGTAAAGAAGTTGTAATAGAATTATAATAAAAAACCAGTCATGCAATCGCGCATCATATTATGCATAATAATTAACGTACGGGATAAATTATTAAAATAATATTAACATTGTTAACATAATAATATATTCTCGTCGTAAATTAATTATTTAATTTCAACATATTTATATGATTATAAATGAGTTAAAATTTATATGTTTTAGGTTGCTTATTAGTTCAATGTACTTAACAAATTTTTCTCTTAAAATACAATATCATCAGTTTGTTTCTAAACTTGATACGGTGCATTGATATGCATATTTATTGAAAATTGGTTAGACTCCGCCGCTTTGAGACTAAGCCAGGACCAACAAATTGTATTACCTTAATCACATTGATAAGATTTTCGTACAACCCTGTACGGGTTGAATACACAAACTCGATAACGTTTTGCAAATAGTAATGAAAAATAAAGATCATAATAAAGTTCATGAACGAAAAATGTGATTTCGTTAAATCCCTTTTGGTCAGCTAGACGGGAAACTCGATTGTTTTGGCGAAAATGGCCAATGAAGATCCCAGAGAGTTTATTTTTCTCGTTTTTATTAGATTCACTATGCGGTTTTAGGAAACTGCTCGTTGTGTATTCGGGAATAGGCCCACGATATTGAAGCTTTGGCCTACCAAAGGGATTTCATTTGGTTTGGAAAGTTTGCCTTAACGTACACGTATAAAACTTATAAATCGTAGATTAGTCGAAAAGTCCTGCCTACAAGAGCGTTCCCGAATCCGATCCAAAATAGGTAGTGGGACCGTATCTCTTACACCCTCCGCTGACGCCTCATGTATAGATTTATGTGTTCTATCTTATTACTTTCAAAGTACCACAGCTCCGGCAATGTACGCGGCATATTAGGATACGCACAGCTGGCTACATTTTAAAGTATCTTATTCTTATTCAATTTTCCAAAGTCTCTATCTTTATGTACTCGCATTAAATTTGTTATTCGGCAGTATCGACGGTATGCTAACTATGTACAGATTCCTAACACAAAACTAATAGTAGCTAACGTATCATTATTTCCCAGTGAGAGCTAAACATTGATTTTATTTCTCGAACTATTACTAAAACACAAATACTACCATTTTCACTCTGGAATGTAACGCAATCACTTTGCTCTTTCTAAACAAATTACCACCCCATTGGTAAATTAAGAATACATTCCTTTAGCTTTATTCTTATGGTGACCCTTTGCAATAAACAATAATAGAATAAGAACGGATTATGTGTTATTTAGCTTTTAATTGAGTCAACTCTAACACGTGGACATCGAATACACATCAGTATTAATTTTATTCAAATAAAAGTTTTATTTTTCATCTATAGGTGATACCTTCTAATTGACAGGGAACTAAAATGGGCAATTTCCCCCTAAAATAAAATAAATATTTTAACTGTTCTTAAAAATAAAAAATTTCATGAACATGGTTCCTTCGAAACGACACTGAAATAAGATGTTTAAATCCATTATCCTCTGAGTGCGCTATTTGTTTCATAAATACAATTTTTATTCAAAGCAATATAAATTCTATATAATTTGAAATTTAAATTAAGTGTAAGTTTCATGACATTTATGGTTCACTTCAGTATACTGTTGGTACAGATTTTATGTGACATTTAAGACATACTATGGTCTTTTATAGTACTGTCATTGTAACGAAACCTTTTCTATTATATTATATATGTATAATTTAATCAATTAATCATATTATTTTTATCTGCCCTTCTATAAAAATATTTGTACTACTTTGGCCTAACTGTGCTCAAATAAATGAGAATTAAAACCAAAATTTATTTATTTTTTTTTTTATATCTGTCAAATATTTTAATCGTATTAAGGTTAGTGTGTTAAGGTTTAACTCCCAGAAAATAGTTTTTTCTGTAAACCTGTCTTCGTCAATGTTTACTAAGCATATACAAATATTAATTTTTAATAATTTATTTTGATATTACATCAAATTAAATCTTGTTTTATAAATATATTAACATTACAACTCTAATTCAATTTAATAATTTTTCTCTAATCGCTAGATTTTTTAAATAAAATAAAGAAATTTAAGATTGTTAAGTGTTGTAAAATTATGTTCTTATAGCATAACTTTTTTTTGGTTGTTAACAGTTGTTTTCTTTACATTTAAGCACTAAACCAGTATTTAAGTATATAATATAATATGTAAAAAAAACACATTTTATTTTTAAAACTAGATAAATACTGTCATTATCGACTGACTTGTAGTTATTGGATTAGATTAGGCATGGATCGAATTAGTGCCGACGCTAGGTCGAGGCTGACGGAGCACAGCCCCGCACATAATAGTAGCGTATCAGAGTTTTGTTTTTAGGGGGTGATATACACTAGAAGAATTTGTATTGCTCCCTCCAAACAAAAATATTTGTACCTTCACCGTATATAGATTTTTACTGAAGGAATCTATATCACTTCAACCTCTCCCTCCTAGCACAATGACCCAGCAAAACTTAGCGCCAGCACTAGATTGAATAGTTACAAATACTCTTTACTTATTATAGAGGCATGCAGTCGTTCAGTTGTAATATCACCCCGTCTTTTAAATTGACCTTTTTTAACTTCTTGATATTAAAGAAATTCGGAGATCCCAAATTCACATTTCTGTTAGCTATTTGATAATATATTGACATTTTTATATAATGTCCATTTTTAAAGTTTTATATTATCCCAATTTCTATAGGCATAGAATATTGTTTTATTGCAATTTTTAACATACAACAATAATTAAATTTTACAACTTTATCGATTAGAATCGTTATAACATTGATGATTTTGTTCGTTACATTATATCTATCAATAATATAATTTAAAAATATTATGTCTTTTAAATTGTAGTAAAAATATTACTTTATTATATTTATATAATAAAAAAATAACATGTTATTCCTGATAGTAAATTAAAAATGTTTATTGTACTTAATCATAAGTGACTGGTTTATTATTCTAACACTAGTGTACTAATAAATAAATAATGTATATAATTTTAGCAATACCAATAACATTATATTATTTAATTAAAAACATTTTATTTATTAGTTAATACAATATAATTTGTTTCATTTTAAGTGGTTAATTAATTATAGAGTATTCACATAATCAAAAAGTCAATAAAATATCTGATTCTGAAACATTACTAGAATTAAATTTCAATTAATCGCTTAGTAGTACATTCTACATAGATATTATTTAATTGGATGCAATTGTAGTTTACCGACGGGTGAGTTTGTAACATCTTGATGAACAAAAGTTTACTAAAGCTTTTAAGTAAATCCCAATTTATTGCATTGCGCCTACGCATCCAATGAAATGTCTCTTTAAAAATGATATCAAATTAATCACAAGTCGTACGTCAAGTCCTTTTCAAGCGCAATGGTAGTACAATACCGCCCGCACATTTCCACATTTCTATTTAGAAAAAACATAACTACCCTTTGTTCGTTTAATTACAATGACCAATGATTGTTCCGCTTAATGATCAATGTTGATAGAATGCGGAAATCATTATTTCGACCAATAATTATTTACAGTATTACGATAATGCAAATTAATTTTTTGACACATCAACAACTATCGGCTATCACGTCTGACTGATAATTATTATTATATCAGTACACTATTGGTTTTGAGTACCTAATAAAACATAATTATTATTGCTATTATTCGGCCATAGATGGTTAGGTAATTGCATTATTATAGAATTAATGACCGGCCTTGAGTCTACAACGAATATCCAGGTAATTTAAATAGCTCAAATTAATCTACTCCACGAAAGTAGTACAAATCTAATCTCATCAGATTGTCGAGTCATGGTTATTATATGATATATTCTGTTTTTATTATATTATTGAAACATTTGATAATGTTCATGAACATTTACCTATAAAATAAACAGATTATTCAAAACATTAAATCAACACTTATTATTAACCTAGTACAGCCGATTGTTAATTTTTTGTTCCATCATTTAGGCATATTGTAAATTACTTCCCTGAAAATTAATAATGTAACAAACATAATATCTTAAAAGTGATTATGACGAATAAAGACAAGGTTTGATTATTATGTCATAATATCTAAATTATTGTTGGATCTATTAACCTTGGGGTTAATTTATATTGGTTTTTTTGAAGTAAAATGACAATATTATGCCTTTATTTTTTCAAAATTTTGACATATTGGTGTTTTTTTTTATTATTCTATTTTGTCAAATGATGTTTCCATAAAAAAGTATCAATTAAAATTTGATCATTAACAACTTTAACGAGTTTAGTATTTGTGGAAATAATTACTATAAGTGATAATTTTTAATGGTAAATTCATAAGCGGAAATTTGATTGGGTTAGTCCCTTTAAAATTTCAGAAAAACTACATATATAATTATATGAAAAAAAAATTTAGTGAAGGGAAAATTACATGTAAATAAACCTTTCCAAATATTTTATTGTAATTGAGTCTATGGGTAAATTTTAAAAGTATAATGGGAATCTGCAACCGTTAACTTTTTTGATAATAAAACTTAACGATTTTTCAGTAAGGAAAATTAAAATGTTTTCAGCTACGTTATACCCAAGTCAGATTAGTTAAATAAAAAAAGTTTTATGTTGCACGTTTCTTTTGCCTTAACATTAATTAAACAATGATTCGTATAATTTTTAACATTAGGTGATAAAACAATCGCCTAATGACCATTTTTATAGTAAAACATTAAAATTAAAAAAACTAAAAATTTCAAGGATATAAATATTACATCCTGAACAACAAGAACTTAAATGTCTCCGAGACTGTCCACAAAAAATTACTAATTTGTTTAGTAAAAAAAATTATTATTTAATACAATTATGTAGTTTATATATTTAATTAAAAACCAAAATCATTAATGAACTACATTCCTAAAATATTTACTTACTGACCAGGGTATTTCAAAAACAACACGCCCGATAAAATGTTTTCATTATTTAAACAATTTTCGACTTAAGGGAGGGTTTGTCCACATTGGTCGTTTAGCACGAGGTTTTGAATGCATACACAAATATAGCATTTAGAGTTGGTGGCGCGTGTAGCAATAAAGGAGAAGTCTCTTACCATAATACATGAACAGGGACGTGTAATGACATGATGTTTAAATGAAAAAGGCGGACCGCATTTTTCTGAAATGTAATTTTTTTTTCTAACAATCGATGTGGACAATTCGGGAATTTTTATCAAAACAAATGACGGACGCACAAAAAAAGACCCAGTCAAATACATAATTTAAAACTTCGAAAAAACAATTGAGTTATAAACATATTTCTGCATTACAATATTATCTGTTTGTTTCTCATCTATATTATGTCAAACAGAATAATATTAAGTTATAAATTACAGTTTCCTGAGTTTACCCCGTTAGAAAATGCAATTCTTGACGTCACACTCCATTATTGTCTCAAACCAAAATTCTTGAGCTTCTCTTTTTATTTTCAAAAAATGATTTACAAAATGTCTGGTAACTCTAGTAAAAATTACTAGTAAGTAATTAATTATTAATAAATTTAATCTGGGAAGATTTACATTAACAAAAAAATGTTAGATACGTCGTTTAGGCTTTTTAATCAATTTGTATTGTATTCGAAGTATTTTAAAGCGTTTGAATCACTTTTTTACTTTATAACTTTTATTTATAAAACTAAGTATTCGAAACAAATTACACTAGTTTTCAAGAAAATCATTTTTTAAACGTATGTATCTATGTCTACAGAATGCTTAAAATAGTAAATAGAGGAGGCTGACTATAATAATTATTATTATTTAGTTGCATACAGAGAGCTATTGAAGATTTGCTACCACTAAAAAAATAATTTTTAATTAAAGTCAGTAAATATTTGATGCACTGCAATGCATACTACATAAAATTTATTATGTACTATTTTTAATAAACAAATCATAAACAATTATTTAAGATTCAGTCACTACCCCAAAAATATTTACGAATCATTAGCCACACAGAAAAAACCCTTAACCAAAACACTGAATAAAATGATATGGACAAGTAAAACAAAAATTATACTAACTCCATTAGTTTCATAATTTCAATCATCGATACTCTTTCAATTTCATTTTGTATTAAATTAAAATTGACATTAATAAGTTAAAAACAAAAGAAATAAAGTAAAATACTCCGCAAGTGCTATTATAGGCAATAGAATCCAGGCCTTAATATACAGTTTAAAATTGGGTTATAATTTTTTTTAAATATTCAGTTGTTAAAAATGTACTAATTATTAGTTTAAAATGAATCTGTATAGTACATACATATCAACAAGAATATTATTGCTTACTTAAGCTCCATTTCATTAATTTAAATAAGACTTGAAAGTACTTTCAAAGTGATTACTAAGATTAACTACTTAAAGAATTTCACTTTACTATTCTTATTCATCAACCAAATTTAAAAAATCCATCTGATTTAATCTGATATTTCTACAAGATAAAAAAATGGTTGAAATATAATAAGTAGTCAAAGATTTTCATTTTACAAACCACTATATACACATTTTATAATATTATAACTAAAAATTAAATAATGAAAGCTAGACTTATTTAAGGCATTGTTAAAGAGAAAATTAAGAGTTTAAATACTTACAAAAAATTTGTATGAATTGAAATTGATCATATAAAAATACTAAATTGTAATAAAATAACTTGATTTTTGTAAGAAAATTTAATTATGAAAAATATAATAGTTAACCTAAACACTAAACAGTAAACTACAATAATTTTACAGTTATAAATTAAAAAGACAGTTTTTTTTATTTCTATTACAATTTTAACTTAAAAAACAAATTTTTATCCATAAATCAGTCGTAGGTGTTTGTGTAAAATTTAGAAACAAATACAAACAACTCGTCACACATTCAAATTAAGAAGGAACATTAGTATACCGATTCAGATTCAATTGAATCTAATTTAGGTCGTTTGCAATCAGCAACATTTTCAGATACTTCCTCGTCATCATCTGACCGCAAACGTTTCTGATTCTGCTTTAACTTTACTATTATGCACGTCATATTATCACAGCCTGTTCCATCACCAAATGTATTAGGTGCCAAACATTCATCAAATAACTAGAAATAAATTATTTTTAATAACTAAAGTACAAATAAAAATAAAAATACTTATTATACATAAAATCAATTTTTAAACCCAAAAATTAGTGCACACAGTTGTATTTAAAAGACAAAACAATTATTTATTTAAAACCTTGAAATAAAATTTTTGTTAGTTCTATTTTTAATACTATAAACTTAAGTTCAATTCATTTTACTTTATAAAGAAATTTACACAAGTCACTTACTTCTTCACAAATTGATGACAAATTTACATCTGCTGTATTGATACGTTTAGAAACAAAATCAACTACTTCTTGACTAGTCAATGAATTCCAAATTCCATCACATGCTATGATCAAGAAGTCTTCATTTTCTGGTTTCAGATCAATAACTTTAACATCTGGTAATGCAGTAATCATTTGTTCAGTATTTGATAGTTCTTTATTTTTTTTGTAGTTGTGATCACCTATAATAAAATTTTAATAGATTGAAAAACAGTTACAGGTAATTTATGGACAGAAGAGTAAAAATATTTTAAAATTATGTAAGATTCAAACATAAATCCATTATCATATTAGATTATTGTATAACTAAATCACTGAATATTTTTTTTAAGTGTACAAAAATTACTATATTAAGCAAATATAATACTTTGGAATTAAAGAAATTAGTTATCATAAATCATTTCACTAAGTCTTACCGAGTGCTCTAGATAAGTTCAAACCCCCATTAACTCTTCCATCATTTGATACAGTTCCACCAGCAGCAATGATCCTTTTTAGCTCAAGTTCATCTTCTGGTTTGTGATCTTCTGACAAATCATGAGCTATATTATTTTGTGAAACAATACACCTTGAATCACCTGCATTGGCTACATATAGTTTATTATTAACCAAAAGTGCTAAAACTGCTGTGCAGCCACTGTCTTTTCCAGGCTGAAAATTAATTGAAAACAAAATTATTTAGTTATTTTATTAAAAAAATTAAGTAATAATATTAAAGGGCTCTGTACAAAAACAAAAAATTTTTAGTAGAAATGGTAAAAAACATTTTAATATGTTATTTTTATGTTATACAGTTATTGAAGTTTAAAATTGTCTTTTAAAAAAACATTTTGCAAACAGTTTTTGATGGTTTTAAATTAAAAAAATATACATATACATAAAGTAAATGGTTAATGTATTGATATGACAAAAAAAAAGTATTGATACTTTTAGCATTGAACATAAATTTATGTAAATCTACCTTAAATTCACCTAAATCTACCTTAAAGTCATATACAATTTACTTTTTCTAATTTTTTAGTATCTTAAGGGTTTTTAATATTATATGTAATAATAAGGTGCAAAAAGCATTAGAAAAGTTATTTTATGTACTTGTATAACCCATTTTCTTATTTTATATAAAACTAAATTTGTTATGTTTCTGTTGTATACTTTAATTTTTTTATTAAAATGTTTATAACTATTTAAAATTAAAAATATTAATTTAAAACTAAAAGAATATTGAACTCAAAAAGATACAATAATTACTAATAAATTGCAGATAAGTATTTTAGGGACAATGTTACCATTATCAATATTAAACACATACTAACCCCAATACACAAAAAAAAATCCCTTATATACCCCTAGTAATTTTATCATCTATTCATGTTATCACAGTATGCCATATTACATAAGTTTAATGATGAATTTTTCAGTTTATAATGGTACATTGTTTAAGAATTCTGCAATTCATTTGTGGCTTTTTGAGTTAAGTTTTTTATATTTCTTTTTAAGTATTAAATTAATATTTTTAATAGATAATAAATTAATAAAAGAATAATTATACTCAGACTATAATCACATAAAATCAAGAAAAATTTTTACTTCAAAATACTAAACTATTACCTCTTCTTCTTCATCGTCATCTTCACAAACAATTGAATCATCTTCTTCATCATTTACATCTTCTTCATCACTTACTTCAGAATCTGATTCATCACTAAAATAGTAAAATTTTTTTGATATTATCAAATAAACTAAATGAATAAAATTTCTTTTATTACTATTATAATGTGCTATGTAAAAATTTATATAAAAATATGAGACATCTGGAAATAATGGAGTCAAAATTACAAAAAAAAAAAAAAAAAAACATAAGTGTAAACCTAAAGATTACTTTTTGAGTGGATTTTTAAAAATATAGCTTTTTTTTAACCTTAATCGTTTCAGCTCTTAGCGTACTGAAATTGTTGAAGAATGATACAATAAATGATTTGTTTAAATTAAACGTTTTGATTGAATTTAATAACATATTTGGATTAATTCAATCTCAAAAATTAGAATTTACAACATTACAAACCCTAATTACTTATTTATAATTATAGGGCGATTTATAAAGCATGAAACCTTTTTCTAATAAAGAAATATTTTTCCATAAAAATGCATTAAATATTATTTTTAAAGTTATCATATATTTCAGGTATAGGTGAAAAAGGGTACACTTACAGTCAATATAATCTGTTAAGTTATACAGTCAATATCTATGATTAATATTAATCATCACACTTAATACATACTAGCGTTTTAAAGTAATAATTTTGAGTATGGTTAAAGATAAACAGTTCTTATACTATGGGACTTTTTTTTTCTTGCTTTTTGGATGTTCTACAAAATACGTTATGCTGACATAATTTTTCTACCAAGTAAACATCCTTTGTGTTAGTATATGGTATGAATTCCATAAAAAAAAAAAGATGTCCAATGTCCTCATTCACAAATTTGTTTTTTGAATTTTTTTTTCATTTGAATATTTGTGATGTTATATGACAGGTGTCTGTTATTTGTTAATTCTCATTTGATATAACAAAAATCAGTTTACGAATGTAACACATTACAAGCAAACAAGTTAGCCAATCAAATAACAACTTGATTATCATCTCTAAAATTACAAAAATGGATATTGACCAACCAAAACTCAATTTAATCCATTATCTATCCAATATAATAATAATAATAATGAGTTCTCATTTAACTTTTAAAAGCTACGCCTAAAAACTACCCTAATAAATAGTTCTTTTTTATAATTAAATTCATATTATAACAATTTTAAAAAATAAAAATAAATTATTCGATACAATTTTATCAAAAAATTATTATTTAACAAAATAAATAAAGAAATCATTCTGTATAGTTACTAAACCAAACAATGTTTAACTTATGACAAATCAGTCATCATAAAAAAATGTTGTACCAAGATGTTCATTCTTTTTATACTTACTTACAACAGTGATAGATTATTTGAACTATGTTAAAAGACTACAGCAGAAAGTTATGAATTCAAGTACATTGAATATTTCACTAAAAAATTGAGAGCCGGTATGTTTTAATAGTGATTGTAAACACTTTTTTTTAATATACAGAAAACTTAAATGATTTTGAAACATCAATGTAATAAAAAATTAGTTTTACTTTAATATTTTTTTACTTTAATTATAGCTTCTAAAATATTATTTTTAAAATCCTGTAAAAATTATAATTTTTGTGGTTTTAAAAAAAGCTTGATATAACCCAATATCCAAAAACAATAACGTAACTACCAAAACTACTGATTATATTGAACAAAATGTAATTTTTAATACCTATAATTTTATTAAGATTATTTTTTAATGAATCAATAGTTATACAGATAATAAACATGAGACACCATTAAAAAAACATCTAAAAATTAATTAATAAGATTAACTATCAAAAATTACTTGGTGTTAATAGATGCTTCAAATATTTCATCATCCGAGTCACTATCATCTGAATCATCAGCAATCAAACGAGCAGATGAAGAGCTATCTCCACTACCATTTTGACCTTTACTACTGCTAGGACAACATTCACCCACACTACTCTCTGGAATGGATTCTTCTACTCCATTATTTTCATTAGTTGAATTGGATGTACCATTAACTTTGGTATCTGAAGAATCAATTATTTGAATACTTGCTTCAGATTCTTTTTCACTAACTCCATTTGTTGTCACAAGAGTTTCGGAAGAATTAGCCTCTACATAACATAAAATTACACTTATCACTCTTTTCATTATTTATTTACGTTATTTACTAAAATAATTATTAATACCTGACTCATTTGTACTATCAGCAGTGCACTTTTCTTTATTAGAATCATCTTCACCTTACATAATATAATTAATTTTTTTAAATCTAGATTTGAGCTTGTTATTATGCTTACTAGTTGACTTTGATTTTGGTCTCTGTGGTGCTTTAAGAAATGGAGAAGCTGGTAATTTAGATGATCCTGGTTGATCCAGTGCATTTACTGCATCTACTTTAGACATTATTTTATTTTTATATTTCAATATGATATCTTCAATAGGCATATCTGCTTCTTTGTACAGTTCATTCAATTCTTCACTTTCTTCTTCTTCATCTCCATCATTTTCTAAAAGTACATAAAATGATTGGTTCAGTTAAATTAAAAAAAACCCAGCACAGGGGGGTCGCGGCACAGTAGTGACGTGGCATAGTTGGATCAAGTATAATGATATCTGACAGTGATTAAAATCACTATAAAAAAAAAACGCTTCGATGCAAATCTTTAGATAGTGTTTAATTTTAAAAAATTGGTCTATTATTCCAAAAGCTACATGATCTGCTAGTTCCTTATTAATATCTTGATTAAGATAAAGTATGTTGAATGAGAAAGGGATTATTAAAAAATATTATTTTTCATAAAAAAATTGTCTTGATCCTTACACTTTTCAATAAGTTATAGCATTATAAAGTAAAAAATGTAAATTATGAAATTGAGAATTTTCACACAAAAATAGCATTTGGTAGCCATTTTCACCATTCAGACAAGTCCAGAGGTCAAATTTTTTTTTTTCATATTAAAGTATGTTACATTAGCTTTAATTTAAGATATATATATAAAAGTGTCAGACCTTCAGGAACATTTTCGAAAATTAAGTTGAAAAAGTTAATTTTTTGTGAAAAAGTTGTCATTTTAAATCCTCCCTTGTTGGGAAGGTTAAGTGTCAGATTTACAAAAAAAATATACCAAATGATAGGTAAAGACATCATGCATCCATAAAAAAAAAACATATTGATATGTTCATTTTTGAATAAGTTACAATAGCTTTTAGTAAAAAAAATTGAAAAAATGTCGAAAATTAGCAATTTTTAAATTTGTAATTTTTTTGGAGGTTTCCCCCATTTACGGGGAACGAGGGCATTTTTTTCAATTTTTGAGGGTAATGTCTTCGACTAGATACAATTTGTGATCTTTTGACGTATCATTGAAAGAAATTGGTTCGGTGAGAGCTGAGAAAAAGTGGTAACAGACACAAAAAAATAA